GTTTACCTCAAGGGCATCCAAGAAGTAGGTAGTTTCAATTTTGATAATTTTAGGTCAAACTGTTTATGTCTGTCAGTCATATAATGGAGGTCTATGGTCACCACCTCAAAGAGCACGCACAGAGAAGTCATGATGTAATGACTCGTAAATGTAAGTACACATTGATGGCCTAAAGACACGAAACAAGCGGTTTGTGTGAGAAAACGAACAGTATTCATATCGTTTTTACCTCTAGTTAACAGCAACAAAGCCCCCGCGCCCTCAGATCACTTGGATGTGGCTGTGATTACAAGAGGTAAAAACGATATAAATACTGTTCGTTTTCTCACACAAACCGCTCGTTTTGTGTCTAAAGCCATTATTAAACATCATGTTTAATTTGGACTTCTCTGTGCATGCTCTTTGACGTGGTGACCATAGACCTCCATTATATGACTGACAGACAAGTATGGTTTGACCTAAATATATCAAAATTGAAACAACAAAGACACCTACATCTTGGATGCCCTTGAGGTAAGATAAAACATACCAAAAAAAATTAATTTCAAAGTGAACTCTCCCTTTAACCCTCTGGGGTCTGAGGTTTCTCAAAGAGCATTCAGAAATAATGTTTTTATAACTAGAAAAAGAAATTGCATTTGACATGATGTCAAACCTGGCGGAGTGCTGTAAATATGACTTCTCGTTTTTGGTTGAACGATTTTTTTCAATGCATACTACAGTATTTGAAATTGGGCTCATGTGCTGCCCACCCGAACTAAAGCACAGCTGTTCTGCAATGTAGAACGGGGAATTTCACTCCATCTTTGTAAAAGTTTCCCACTTGTATCTACTCGTTAAATGGGGGACATGAGCTTTTGACCCAGCAGTGAGATGTCAATGACTCAGCCTTGCCAATAGCAGAAAATTGGGCTCCACCAGACTGGCAAAGACTTACCGTTCACGCAGGCTCCCAATCTCATACATCTAGTTTAACCAAGCTCAACAGGGCATATTTTAATACCCCGAGCCACTGCGGAAAATTCAATGTGCTGCGGAAGCATCCACTATTCATAGGACAGCATTTTCTTTATCTCAGCTCTGCACTGGCTTGCATGACAAACACCATTCGCCTCCAGTACAGATGACACGGGCGTCTGGGTGGTGATAAGTCCCTCTGAAACCAATGATCAATTATGTGGAACTAATCAGGAACCACACAAGCACTCTCCATATGGTGTGCTTCTCTGCGTTACATTCTCAGATCCAATCTCCTCAGTCTTGAGACACAAGGATTTTCGAGTTGCGGAGGATTTCCGGTCTCTGTGGACACACACACACACACACATCCATCTCCAACAAGGTCCCTGAATATGTTGTCCTTTTGCTTGCTATGGGATTTGATGGAGTGCCCCTTTTTTAGCAACTGCCTGGAAATATTGAATGGGAAAACAAAGTCAACATGAAATCCTGTCAATCCTCCTTAAGGACGCCATATATATATATATATATATATATATATATATATATATATATATATACTCTCAGAAAAAAAGGTACAAAAGCTGTCACTGGGGCTGTACCTTTTGTATTCAAAGGCTACATATTGGTACCTTAGTGGTACATATTAGCACCTAAAATGTACATATTAGCACCTGAAATGTACGTATTAGCTCATGAAATGGACATATTAACACCTAAAATGTACATATTATCACCTAAAATGTACATATTAACACCTAAAATTGACATATTACCACCTAAAATCGACATATTAGCTCATGAAATGGACATATTAGCACCTAAAATGTACATATTAACACCTAAAATTGACATATTACCACCTAAAATCGACATATTAGCTCATGAAATAGACATATTAGCACCTAAAATGTACATATGATCACCTAAAATGTACATATTAACACCTAAAATTGATATATTACTGCCTAAAATGTACATATTAACACCTCAAATGGACATATGGACATATTGTACCATTCTACAAGAAGAAAAGCCTCCAGTTCTTTGAAGGATGAAGCAGGAGGAAATCTACTTTACACTTTCAGAATTACCCATAATGCTTCAGTGATGTTCATATGGTGACTGGGAAACATGTGCAAGACATTTGACTTGTGACGAAGCTGACATGCGATCACTGAACTTAATAACTCACAACATGGCTGCACACATCCTTGTGTTAATCTGTTGGAAAACACACATCGTTTGTTTCAGCATTGCTTGGATTTCTCCAAGCATAAACTTAGTTTAGGATGTAGGGTGAAAAATGACAAGTCAGATTAGACCAGAAACATCCAATCGGGGGGATGTAAGGGTGTGCTGACTAATTATTTCATTTTTCAATATTATTAGCTCTTTCCTGTCACATTTATATCATTTATATATTTATATCGCTCAGTGCTACCAATGTCAAAAGAATGGGTTTGATTTCCAGGGAATGCATGCTCTGATAAACTGCCCATCTTCAATCCATAAAACAATCTGCCAAGTGCATACATGTACAATGAAAACAGCCACAACAGCACATAAGGGATAATCATCACTTGTGAGTCTCTAAAGTTTTTCATAAGTAAAATGCTTTCATTTTAGATGCTTTTAATACGTTAACAAGGTTTTAGTGTCTATGCAAAGATATGTAAATGAATACATGCTAATGAGATCACGTACATGTGAAATGCTGATTTTATGTACAATTAAAACTCTCAGGGAATAAAACCAGTTTGTACAGTAGACTTCATAAGAAAATGCCTCTGACGGAGTGCAACACAAAAATGTGATCAATGATTAAGTGATTGTTCTACATAATAGCCGTGATTGGTATTCAAAGTACAGAAATGCGTTCGGTTATGCAGTTATTTACTGATCACAGCATTCTCCAAATGCAGCACACGACGAATTAATTTCACGTAAGCTGTCAAGATAGATGTAGTATATGCTTTTGTTTTTATGTTTGATTGTGTCACATGTGAGTGAGTCCAGAACGACGAATGCAAAAGAAAAGTGTGAAAAACAGTTCCACCAAAAGAGGCTATGTATTGTAGAAACATGTCGCTAGAAGTGAATACGTGAAGATGTAAATAAACACAAGGCGGCCAACGTCTCAAGACTTGGCTCCCAACTTTTAATAATTGGGTGTCGGGAGCAACTCTTGCTTTCCAAGAGATAAAAAAAGAGTTTATAAGAAGAATTCAAAGTGGTAAAAACATTGCTCTTCATAAGAAATGCTGCAAAACATTATGATTTTTTCCTGCTCAGTCTTAAAAGTCTATAATATAATAGCAAGTTCCATTTTGACAACTTACCCCATAAACCATATACATGTCAGGAAGACAATACAATGCTGAATAAAGTTGTCGTTTTTGTTATTTTTGGACCAAAATGTATTTTCGATGCTTCAAAGCACTGTAACTAACCCACTGATGTCACATGGACTACTTTGATGATGTCTTTATTTCCTTTCTGGACAAGGACAGTATACCGTACACACATTTCCAATGGAGGGACAGAAAGCTCTCGGACTAAATCGAAAACATCTTAAACTGTGTTCTTAAGATTAACGAAGGTCTTACAGGCTTGGAACGACACGAGGGTGAGTCATTAATGACATCATTTTCATTTTTGGGTGAACTAACCCTTCACTCCCAGAAGGTATAAAAGCAGTCACTAGGGCTGTACCTTTTCAAAAGGTAAACTTTTGCCCATTTTAGGTGCTAATATGTACATTTTAGGTGGTAATATGGGCATTTATCTGCTAAAATGTACATTTTAGGTGCCAATATGTACATTTTAGGTGCTAATATGGACATTTATTTGCTAATATGTACGTTTTAAGTGGTAATATGGACATTTTAGGTGCTAATATGTACATTTTAAGTGCTAATATGTACATTTTAGGTGCCAATATATACATTTTAGGTGCCAATATGTCCGTTTTAGGTGCTAACATGGGCATTTTAGGTGCCAATATGTAAATTTTAGGTGCTAATATGGACATTTATTTGCTAATATGTACATTTTAGGTGGTAATATGGACATTTTAGGTGTTACTATGTACATTTTAGGTGCTAATATGGACATTTAGGTGCTAATATGGACATTTATTTGCTAATATGTACATTTTAGGTGGTAATATGGACATTTTAGGTGCTAATATGGACATTTATTTGCTAATATGTACATTTTAGGTGGTAATATGGACATTTTAGGTGTTACTATGTACATTTTAGGTGCTAATATGGACATGTAGGTGCTAATATGGACATTTATTTGCTAATATGTACATTTTAGGTGCTAATATATACATTTTAGGTGCTAATGTACATTTTAGGTGCTAATGTACCATTAAGGTACCAATATGCACCCTTTAGGTACAAAAGTGTACCTTTTGAAAAGGTACAGCCTCAGTGACAGCTTTTGGACCTTTTTTTCTGAGAGTGTTTAAAGTCAACATAATGTTCAAAAGGGACCATCAAAATAAAGTGTTACCCAATTGAATTCAAAGCTTACTGTGTTTTCAAAGTCATTGTACTTCTGACCAGGCAACAAAATAATACCCAACCCGATCACACTAAATGTGTATTGTCATGTAATTTATATGCTAAAGTGAGTTTTTACGTGCATTTGATACGCATTGGTTGGTTAGGGTAGGTATAGTAGTGGTGTGGGGTGTGTTTATTATACGTTTTGGTAGAATTAGTGTTGTGGAGTGCATGTGTATTACACGCAAATGAACTGAGTATCAAATGCATGTGAAAAACTGCGTACCATATGCATGTAAAAACTCATTTCCGCGTATAAATTACACGACAATACACGATGCGTGTTATAGAGACGCATTTACGTGAGAACAGGGGCAAAAGTATAGGAAAAAACACCTAGTGTTTAGTTTCTGCCAGTCGCTGTCTCAGAGTCAAAGAAATCTGCAAACCCCACCAAATGTGTCAAGTCAATCCACATCATGAAAGTCTAAAAGGCTGTGTGAAAATGTGAATATGACTCACAATTGTCCCTCTGGTCCTCATTTCCTGTCAGACTTCTTTCTTCAATGGCTCTGTCCTTTGAACTGCTGCCGTATCACATTCTGAATCTCCAGGAGCTCGGTTCACCCCCTACAGTTCAAAGAGCACATGCACACAGTGAGTCCAGGCCTAATCTAGTGGCCAGCCCTAATGATTGATTGCATACTGAGAAGTGCCGTCACCTCTGCTGAGGAAAAGAGCGCAAGAAACGCTCATCACGAAACCGACAGAGGAACTGAGAACAGCTTGATTTGTGGTAGACTGGTTAACTCGGAGGGCTAATTGTTTTTTAGAAATGTGTGCGACCATTAACCAAAGGGTTTTGATGTGAATTGTGTGCGTTTGTGTATTTGATGTACTTTCTGTTCATCAAAGAATCCTGAAATAATGTATCACTGTTTAAACCAAAATATAAAGCAGCTCCAATTTTTTCAACATTGATGACTGTAAGAAATGTTGGTAACACTTTACTTGAAGGGGTGTGCAGAAGACTGACATGACACCTTCATAACCATGACATATGTCACGAATCTTTTTCCGAGTCGATTTATTCATTTCGTTCGTTGAATGAATCAAATGACTCGAAAAAAAGAGTTCGAACTGGAGAGTCACACAGAACAGAGCAAGGCGAGCATTTGAGCTTATAAAACTTAAACTTTGTTATTTATTTATTAAATGAGCGATCGCTTCGCTTGATAAGACCCTTATTCATCGTCTGGAATCGTTTAAAGCCCTTTGAACAGTTTTCAGTTTGCAGTGAAACTGTCTTTTGGACCTTTAACCGTTTGGTTCCCATTAAAGTGCATTATATGGATAAAATCCTGGAATGTTTTCATCAAAAACCTTAATTTCTTTTCAACTGAAGAAAGAATGACATGGACATCTTGGATGACATGGGGGTGAGTAAATTATCAACAAAAGTTTTTTTTTTTTTTTTTTTTTAAAGTGAACTATTCCTTTAATGAAGTCATTTGCTAATGTTTTTTGTTAAATGTGAGCAAGAGTACTAGATTAGCAGAGGAAAACCTTTTTTCACATAAAGCTATCGCATAGCTTCAGAAGACGACTTTTACATGTGAACATGCTGCCGATCAGCTCCTTTTGTGTTTGAACATTTTTAATTGACTTGAGACTGAGTAAATTATGACAAAATTATTTCTCAAAACGTGTTCTTTACACACTGGTGATATAAACTTGGCGTTAAATGTTTGCATGGTGCAAACTACTTCCTATTGATCACTGATGTGGTTTGTCATGTTCAGTTGAGTAGCCCGTCCTTTACAGTAGTAATTTGGTCAAAGCATTATTGGGACAATATGGCTGTCAAACCATTTAAAAGTCTCTTGAGCTTCACAATGACATCCACAAGCTACAAGCTCATTGTAACCCTTCGGAATTATTCACGCTGTCATGCTGGCCTTGTTTTAGGTGGCGTTAAGATAAAGAATTAGCTCTATTAAAAGCTTGATTAGAAAGGCAGCGGTAAACTAGTCGATGCCAGATCTGAATGTGTAATGCATCCAGTAGGCGACTCAACAAATAAACGCTTGAGAGCTCATATAGTGTATGCAGTAAGACAGATTAATCTTCTGGTGTTTTCTCCAACAGAAAAACGAGATATAGACCGGGAGAGGATATTAGACGGATAGAAAGATGGATATGAACAGCGAGTGAAAGAAATCCAAAGGAACAATGGCTTTGTTTAGATGCGAGTGGGCTGAGAGGTGAGGAGTGCGCACATTTCTTTGCCACAGGGGTATTTATGAATCTGACGATAATTGCATAATTATCTACAGGTTATATCCTTAAACAAATGACTATTGAGAAGGCAAACAATAGGTCATCCGAGTATGAAACATATGCATACTATGTTTAATTTGAGCAAAAAGTAAGCAATTAAATACACAAACTTATACTGTATATAAGCCAACAAGGCTGCTGCAATAATAACGTTGCCTGGCTAAATTTGGTGTGTTTCTTCTGTGTTTTTTTTATTGTTAACTAAAACTATTAAATTATTGTATAATTGCTAAATAAAGTAACTTTATCTCAATAGTCATCTTTAGATCTTTAGATATTCTACTAACTGAGAAACGTTGCAATTACACGTTAACTAACTCTCATTAGAGTATTAGAAGCGAGGTTGGGGTTAGTAGAATAAGTTGACAATAAAGAGTAATCAAATATTAAAGGGATAGTTCACTTTGAAATTAACTTTTGGTGTGTTTTAGCTTACCTCAAGGGCATCCAAGATGCATGTTTTTTTGTTTCCGCAGTAGTCCGCAGTCAATTTTGATATTTTTAGGTCAAACCGTTCTTCTCTGACTGTCATATAATGGAGGTCTATGGTCACCACCTCAAAGAGCATGCAGAAAGAGATCCAAATTAAACATGATTTAATCACTCGTAAATGTAAGGACACATTGATGGCCTAAAAAAACTAAACGAGCGGTTTGTGTGAGAAAACGAACAGTATTTATATCATTTTACCTCTTGTTACCACAGCCATGTCCAAGCGATCTGAGGGCGCGGCACTTTGTGGCCGTGGTAACAAGAGGTAAAATTATATAAATACTGTTCGTTTTCACACACAAACCGCTCGTTTCGTGTCTTAGGCCATCAATGTGTACTTACATTTACGAGTCGTTAAATCATGTTTAATTTGGACTTCTCTGTGCATGCTCTTTGAGGTGGTGACCATAGACCACCATTATATGACTGACAGACAAGAACGGTTTGACCTAAAAATGTCAAAATTGAAAATGCAGAAACAAAGACACCTACATCTTGGATGCCCTTGAGGTAAGCTAAAACATACCAAAAATAAATTTCAAAGTGAACTATCCCTTTAAGCAGACAGTCTAATGATACTCTAATGACTGCTAGTTCACATGTAGCTGCATATGGATAGTACAATGTTTAAAATGGACAATCAAAATAAAGTTTTACCAAAGTTTCTTTACCAGTGTTTGTATGCTTGTATGTCATGCATTCTTATGCATTTAATAGCACATGGATTTTATCATACATTTTAACTGGATAATTTGAGAAACTTAGCCAATTATTATGCAGTATTGCAATGATTTGTGAATCAAGTCTGAAGAGCATCGATTGAGCAGTGCTATTTATAGGAGTTGCTTTCTTATAGTGTTACAAATTGGTCTCTTATGCGGTTGTGACTCATTCAAGAATGCTGTCTAAGTAGCTACCAGCCTATGCATGCATTACAGTAAGGCAGCTCATTAGGTTTTGGAACAAAGTCCTTATGCAACACACACATAAAAAAAGGATTTCTTCTCCATATCATCATCTTAAAAATACCACTAATTACAAAGTATTGTAGCCGTCAATACTTCTTGATTTGTCTGGTTCCTTATACACGGCAATGCAATTCAACCCGCCCCCCGTCCTTTATCTGTAATAGAGCCCAACAGCTAGAAATCAATAGAGTGAAGATAACAATGGATGAACTCGCAGTGTTGACCATCTCCTGCACTTCAGGCAGTGTGGTTCATAGAAAAGCTTTAGTTGGTGCATTGTTACCCGAGTTGTTTGGTAATGCCAATTGCGTCTCAATCAGTGACCTCGTCATTGTTTTCTATTTGGGAAGAAATGCACAAACATACAGTATCTAGCATCAGTGAGCTTGTGAAACTACAGAAAAGCACACACTGAGCACTAAGTGGTTCATCCCTTTGAACTTTGAAATTGCGCTCTAAAAATGTCAACGGTCTGCCGAAAATGCATTGCGCCCACTGACGTAGAATACAGTCTTGAAAGTAGTGTGTTAAGAGCTCTAACCTTTTCCACAGCCACATCATCCCTCTGACTTCATCTCTCTCTAACTCTCTCCCCCGGAAAGTCTTGTAATGCATGCCGGATAAGTGTACTATAAGTTACAAACAATTTTGTCGACGTTTACTTTATGACACCATCCAAAAATAGTCTAGATTTACGCTATCATACACAATCAAGAGGGTGACAACAAGTAATATACATGCATTTATGGCCTGCTCTGCCAAAGCTGGAGATTTGCACTTGGGAGTAACTGCCTTTTCTGCATGGGTGAGCATCCGTAATCCCACTTGACAAGCATATATCGCTGTCTTCACATCAGGCCAGGCGAAGCAATCGGGTTAGAGCAGGTTTGTTCCTCTGACCTTGGCTGTCAGAGCGTGCATGCTGAAGTCGGCCCCACTGGGGTGAACATTGTGTCGGGGTGGACTTGAGCGCTTTGGGTCATACATTATGTAGACATAAGATGTGCTTTAATTATCATTTAGAGCGATCTACCTCAGACAATGCTTAAAGGAGAAGTTCACTTTTAAAAAACTTTTGCTGATGATTTACTCCCCCCCCATGTCATCCAAGATGTCCATGTCTTTCTTTCTTCAGTCGAAAATAAATTAAGGTTTTTGATGAAAACATTCCAGGATTTTTCTCCATATAATGGACTTCAATGGGAACCAAACGGTTCAAGGTCCAAATGAGAGTTTCAGTGGAAACTGCAAACTGTTCAAAGGGCTTTAAATGATTCCAGACGATGAATAAGGGTCTTATCAAGCGAAATGATCGAAATAAATAAAAAAAAAAATTAAAAAAAATATAATAAATATATAATATATAATAAATACAAAAAAATAATAAAAATAAATAAATAAATAAATAAATAAATAGAATAAAGTTTAAGTTTTATAAACTCAAATGGTTGCCTTGCTCTGTTCTGTGTGACTGAAAAATGAACGAATCTTTTTCCGAGTCAATTCGTTCATTTCGTTCGTTGAATGAACCAAATGACACGAAAAAGATTTGTTCATTTTGATGAATGAGTTCGAACAGGAGAGTCGCAAACGCTCATCACAGAAGGCGAACATTTGAGCTTATAAAACTTAAACTTTGTTGTCTTTTTTTTTTTTTTAAATGAGCGATTGTTTCACTTGATAAGACCCTTATTCATCGTCTGAAATCGTTTAAAGCTCTTTGAACAGTTTGCAGTTTGCACTGAAACTGAACCGTTTGGTTCCCATTGAAGTCCATTATAATTGGGTGAGTAAATTATCAGCAAAATTTTTTTTTTTTTTTTTTTTTTAAAGTGAACTACTCCTTTAAGGCTTTTATGCCTTTGATATACAAGTTAGTTTGCCAGCCGCACCAGGTATGCTATTCTGTGTTATGTCCTGTATCCCAAACGATGAATAAATGACACAATTATGCAACACGCAATGATTATGGCCGCCAATCGTCCTGTAGTGCAGGGGCATCTTGTTTTTTAATCAACGAAAATGCCCCATATGCCAAACTCAATAAATGGTACTACAAGAAAAACAATCATGCTTTTATTTCCAACAATTAGGATGAACAAACATCATGCATTAGCCAGGATGTCTTGTTTATGGTCCATGAAAATGCTTCATGAACTTATCTAAATTAAATTGCATGCGAACTTTCCCTTAAGAAAAACATAACTATTTCACTTTTTATAAATACTGTGATCGTCAACTGATTTTAAAGGTGTAATAGTGTTGCATGACATGCTTTTTTCGTCATTGCGATTATTGTGACAACATACTTTGTGGTCCAATAAAAAAATGTCTAGATGTATCTTTATAACTGGATGAATGTAAACCATTAATTCCACAATGTCACATGACTGCTTTAATTTAGAGTAAGGCAGTGCATTCGAATTCTGAAATCGAGAAAAAATGTCTAAAAAAAGCATATTTCATCTTATTTATCCAACTTGCAAACATGTTTGTAATTTCTGATACGTTTCATATACAAATGCTATATTGTATTGTTATAGTTATATTGATGCTAAAGTGTGCCATGTGCGTTGGATGTATACGCATTGGCAAAAACGTCAGTATATGACGCCCTAGGATGAGAATGAGTTTGTCATGACTAAGAATAAGGCAGTATATTCTTCACATGATCATGTGAAGTCAAGATGAAGTCTAATAGTGCTATATTTGTATAGCATATTAAATTGTGTTTGTGTAATTTATCTGATGTTTCAAAACTAAGCAACTGCACATTTCTGCTACAAGACATCCTTATAACCTGCATTTGGGTGGCGAGACATCAGACACACTTGATACAAGCCAAATATATTATTGCAAGCGTGCTTGCAAGGACACAGTGATAGTACTAATAAAAGCAGCTGGTGAATATATATGGAACAACAAACAGATAAGTGATACTGCTCGAAATTTAGTTTGAAATCTGCCAGCTTTGTTCTGAGCCTCACACAGACGGTACGAGGCAATCAGTTGTCACACAAATATTGCAAGATTGGTCAAGGCCTTACAATTCAATTTTTGGCAAAGAGACAACCTCTACAAAAGGAAATGATGCAACGTTAGCACTGAGTTGCTCCACAGAAAGAACCTTGACATTGTACTATCACACCATGTGAAATTCATTACAAAGCTTGTAAAGTTTGCCTCGGCAAGCTGAATGTAGATGCTCCTGAAATCCGCTGATAGTGGTTGTGTGAGAAAACAAGCAATATGTGATAAAAAAAACAGTTTGCAAAAGCTCAGACTGAGGGTGGAGATGATATGAACCCAAAATTAATTGGAAAACACTAGGCATCACAATTGAAAAATATTAATATAGCATAATTGCAACAAAGCTGACGATTAAGCCAAAAAAAAAAATATATTCAATGTTCTTTAAATATATTTAGATTTATGTTATGCAGCAACTTTGAAACCATATAACTTTTAAAAGCTGAACAAGCTTGTGATTGCAAAAAAACATTGCAAAATAGAAAGTCAAAGTGTAAGATAAAGTCACAATCAGGAATAATGTCGCTATTTTGTTATGGTTGTAATTATGAGAATTTAAGTTGCAATTACGAGATAAAGTCTCAAACCCAGTAAATAATGTAAAAGGGTTTAGTAGACTTTCAGAAATGTATGCTATATACACAACGTCAACGCACAACATTAGAACGTCACCGCTAGGATTAATCGCCAACAGGCAGGGTCTATAGAGTATATATTTTCGATATTATTGTTTACGCTGTTTAAACACATTGTTCTGTTACATATCCTCACAATATTTCAGCTGAATATTAATTAGAAATGCATGTTCACTACCTGTCTAGTGATGTGTTTATGCTAACATAATACAAAAAATGCTGTTTGTCTTTTCAAATCTTCTATCGCTTCATTATATGTATTGAGTTTGCTCATGGGTTTTATGTTTCGCACTTCAGAAATGTGACGTAATTTCTGGTAAGGGAGCATATAGTGAGCATCCAACGAAATATATATTGTATATTTACATACTGACGCTTTTTTCATTGCGTCTACATCCGATACATATATAGGACAGAAGGCGCCTCCTAGTGGTCTAAACCTAACCCTACCCCAGACCTAAACCAACCAAACCGAAAGGGTGCCATGTGCGTCGGATTTAGACACAATGTCAAAAGCGTCGCTATATGACTATGTATAGTAAATTGGGGACATAGGAAAAGCCACCATCAAAACTTTAGCTTGGAACATTTTGATTAGAGAAAAGAAAAGAAAATTATAATAAATTGATAGTTTTCAGTGCACCGGAAAACATGTCAAAAATCACTTAAAACTAATTTAATATTCTCCCTGTCTTTACTTAATTGTGATATTTTAAAAAAAAAAATACAAATTTAACATTTTATCTAAATTACGATGCATACTGCATATAGTAGAGTAGTAGGAACAACTCGCATGCACAGAAAATAAATCTTTTTTCCTTGCAGAACATGATGTCGTGCACATGTCTTAAATCGTCCTCTGTCACTATCTTCACACATTCCCAAGAGTCTGGAAGGACATCTTTCTGATGAAACCGATGACAGGCAAGACTAAGAAGTATAGCGGCGTGGATTCGGCAGTCCATGCATATGTATGCCTCATCGCCATATGGACGCAAAGACAAGGGCATCATCAAGGTAGACAAAACCTGGCCACACCATTCTCTCTTCTCTCTTAATATATTCTGTCACCAACTTCCGTGAACATGCGTGTCACTTTGGAACAATAATTAGACATCTGATGCACCGTGAGGGGTCTGGGGAACATGAACTCCTCAAAGCCCCCGGAGGAAAACCAATGTTCATCATTATGCATTAGATTGTTTCCAAAGGCCTCTTCCAGCGGGAACAATCTCCATTCCGCTCGTAAAAATGATCAGCGCAAGTTCATCCAGCCTGCCGCCTGCCAGTAATGAGAAATGGACACACATAATGGGGCCTGAATGGGTTTAAGTGAGGGCTAGTGAGTCATATTATCAGAGAGCGCCCAGTCGACTGCCAATAACTTGAAGGATTCCTGTGCAGGTATCGATTCGTCTGCAGGCGCGTTCAACTTTTATCGCACTAAAGTTTTATGCGTTGTACACTCTGCTGATAAATTCTAGGGGGTTAGAAATGACTAAAAATCAAATGTGTGCTGAAGAAGCACAGAACGTTTTTGAGACTGTAGTCCTGTGGCATGAATGTTAGAAGATGTGCATTTTCTGATACTGTGAATAAAAAAAGCAAGTCTGTCTGTTAATTAATGGAAAGGTAAAGTCAAAGGTCTATTGAAGAAAACAAAGCTAAGTGACAAATAAACCTAATAAACAATGACCTTTTTAGTCATAAACTTGCTTATTTCAGGGTTTTAGCCAAAAAGCACCATTCTAAATTTGATACGTTGAAATATAAGGAAAATAATGCATAATTTCTAACTCAATATTCTAATAATTCAACAGCCCGTCGTCAATTTAGCCGTGCGTTTAAAGGTACAAAATGGAGGAATTTTTCGCCACCAGGGATCACTAACCTCTTACAATAACAAAGGTGTATATTAATGAAGTATATTCCACATTAAGCGGAATTATGGATATTGTCGTCAAGCTGATGTATCTTTTATGGATGAGTGAATACATTGATGTTTTTAACATGACTGTGGGATGAAGCAGGGCGCGATTGATAGACGTTTAACAGCGCCACACACGACGCGAGTCCCGTGGTTATAAAGGAATAGGGACATTTCATTCTCAATAGGGAGTAGGGAATTAATACTCAAACAGGTCAGTTTATTAGACAAATAAAACTTGAGGTAACTGCTTCACTTGCTCTAACAGTTTCACTATCACATTAAACGGCATTTGAGTGTGCTGAATGTTGTAGGTTGTGTGTTGGCTGTATCAGTGAGCTAGACCAACATTAGAATAACATACAGATCATATTCTAACTTTTCATCATGTTGAACTACATAACATTGATTAGTTTTATGTACATTTGCTCACCTGTCTAATAAAGGAACATGCAACACTCGCGTTTCTGTCAAGTCGAAGTTAGTCGCGGACGCGTGGAGCTCTCGGCACCTCAAAAGATATTGATCTTCGTTTTAATCCTCTTTTTGTCTCAAAGTCTGCTTGCCATGACCCAAAATATTTGAACAAAACAACAACAGCGTGAACGTCCTTCTAATCTAGGCATAACGGCAATAACCCGGTTTGTCGCCATGGTTACTATTGCAGTGCGAGCGCAGCGCAAGCCTGGTGGAAACGGGGGGGGGGGGGGGGGGGTAACGCGGATATGACGTCATAGACGTCGTTTACTTGGTTAAAATCGCAACATTGGCCTAGTGGTTTTTGGATATTTTACTGCTATAATCCTGCATATTTAGGCCTAACTGAAAATAATTGCACACCTTTGAACATCCATCAACCAATCAGATTCAAGCATTCAACAGCCATGTAGCTTACAATAGGATATTAGTTTAGTTTAGTTATTTTTTTATATAGCACATCTGCCTCAAGTGCAGCCCAAAGTGCTATAAAACCAAACAGAAAGGAAAACACAACAACATAAAATTAATATATTTAGGTCTCTCTTGGTTCGGAGTTAAATGCCAATTGGCTGTAGAAGTGCTTCTGCAAAGCCGATATTAATATAATAAATGAATCCTCTTGAACACATATGCTTCTAAATTAGCTATACCTTAAATGCAGTCACATGCAAGTCACATTTGATTAAAAACATCTTCTAAATGTGTCGTTGTGATTCAAAAGAAAACTGCTCCATAATTCCCTACCGTTTTTCGCACGCGGAACATTAGTGGTTCTTCTGGGAGACGCATTCATCAAAACTGTTGCTCAGAGGTTGAACCAGATCAGTTGTGAGAAACTAATTAGAACACCTTGCTATTAATGTGAGGCACTTGGAGCTCAGCTTCTGATTATTCATTATTTGCTTGTGTACATCACGGCACAGCTGCTCGATCAGTGTGTTGTTGTCAGAGTAGCCCATCTGTTTGGGGTGTTTAAGACAGAGAGAGCTGTGGAATTGGGGAAGGGCAGGGGTTGCCAACCCAGTTCATGTCTCCAAATATGATGGATTTATAGTCTTTCATAATTCTTAAGGGAAGAGCACACGCAAAACCACTGTTTTGAGTCAGTATTGAGATTTTAGCCTATTATGCTTCCATAACTTATCTTTCAGACTAGTTGAAATAAAGGATCCAAACTACACATTCAAGGGTTTATTTTAACTCACGTTATCTATTTGAATGTCTTTCAGTTGCATTTAATTGATGTATATTTAACAAAGTTCGAGAGGAACATGTTCAGGAAATTCAACCAATCAGCATGAGAAAAAGCCTTTAGTTTTACCGCGTCCCTCTGCCACCCATATGTCATTCTCCTGATTTAAATAACATTGTATTCCTAAAAAAACATTGTTTTTTTTGTTCTGGCTGTTCATATTTTCTGATTCTTAGAGGGATAAAAATACACCTGAAATTCCCTCTGTAAAAACTCTATGTCAAAAAATTGAAACAATAATTTACAATCCTGCGTTTTTCAAAATTCCGATGTCTGCAAATAAGTATATACAAAATTAGATAATGCATTATTTGCATTTTTAAAGGAGTAGTTCACTTTTCAAAAAAACTTTTGCTGATAATTTACTCACCCCCATGTCATCCAACATATGTCTTTCTTTCTTCAGTCGAAAAGAAATTAAGGTTTTTGATGAAAACATTCCAGGATTTTTTTCCATATAATGGACTTCAATGGGAACCAAACGGTTCAAGGTCCAAAAGACAGTTTCAGTGCAAACATATTAAGGGGGGTCAAGAGTAAGCTGGTTAATTTTGGCACTTAAAAGTTTTAATGTCTTAAAAAAGTAAATATACATTTACATGCATTAATAAGTAGCTGTCTTATTTTGACATAATTATATAGGAGATGATTTGGCAGTGCAGTCGTATTCAGAGGACTTAACATTGTGAAATGGACTTTGGCTGACAGATTTGACTCACTGTGGGCACACAAACTTTTAAGATGCTAAGTTTTATGCATGGAGACTCAGACGTTAACGACTAAGTTACCACCCCCACTGACGATATTTATAGAAACTTCAAAATATGACACTCAATGGCTGCTTGGTGACACTTAATATTCAATACATAGTCTAATGGCCTGACATCGAATTGAAACAGAGACAGAATGACCTCTGTGGGAACTTTATTTTTATGATGCATACTTATTTATGATCGCATCATTGATCTAAATATTACTAGCAGACTGACCTAGATCCTCTGAGGTCATATTTGTAGTTTTCGTGTGACATCACAGCCTACACACACCTGGAGGGTAAAGTCACTTTTACTGACTGGTGATTTTACTGGTGATAATAAAAGACCAATTTCAATATATACACATTATGGATAATGTACAGGCGGGCAGATGAAGCCAGAATATAAACGCAACTCAGTTTGTCGTCAAGCGTTTTTCCATAGAAAACCATTAAATAAAATATATAAATAAAAACTGGTGATGATGCAAAACATGCATCATCAATAAGGTGTATATTTAATTTATACATGTATATTTAACCCAAATTTGGGTTAAAAACTTCAACTTTCACTTTTAACTTTACATTTTTTAATTGCATTTGGGTTAGTCCATATTTGACCCAAATATGGGTTGAAACAACCCAGCATTTTTAGAGTGTATAATCTGAGTTAAATAATTGATTTAATCATATATGCTCATATATGGATTAGCTTGTATTGAACGATTCAAATTGTGGCATTGTCATCAATAAGTATTGAAGCCAATTAGAAAATATATAAACAATCTTATTTATGATTTTTTTTATTGTCAGTAATTAAATCTAGCGATTTATGTGACAAATAAAAATATGTCAACATGTCAGTAGGTGCATTTATACTTTCACCTTCATTCTCTGGAGCAAATCGTGGCGTGTGTGAAGTCACTGAGCTGGAACAATAAACAACGGCAAACACTGTCTAATCCATCATTCCACAAGAACACATAGGATCTTTTGCCCTGATCGTCTTTGTCACTAATTACCGTTGTTGGCCCCAGCACTTAGCAAACAAACGCACCGATTTATCTAACCAATCCTGTGAGAACTTTCAGATCTTCTTTCAGTGACAGTAAACATCATATATTTCAGGTTTAGCACCAGCATGAAAAAGTCAAACGCTATCAAATATCAATAAAGAGCCACAGTCAAAAGCTCATGACTAATTAACTGGCAAAAAAGATAGCTGTTTTATTAAGATCATATATCTGCTTGCTCGCATGCTGTGAAACTCGAGGTCTTACCGTAAAATAAAATCAAAATAAAAGGCATTCATGCAGGGAATCTTGTTAAATTGTATTTTGTGATTAATCTCTATAAGCCAAAACATAAACCTCGCTGACCCATATTTATGATATGCACTTTGGACTGTGCAGGATAGTCTGTAAAAAAAAAAAAAAAAAAGGCTAACAATGCTGTATTTGTGAATTAAATGTCTATAGGGAACAGGTTCAGAAATAGTTTGTACTCATGCCTTTAATATCTCTATTTGCGTAGACGTGTGCTCATTGCTTCTGTAGAGTGTGTGATTGTCAGAGGAGTTTAAAGTGACATTTGAAGACAAGCCATGCGAGATGTGATTCATCACAGCAGATTGAGGACTTACATAAGAATGTCCTTCAAAAATGTGTGATGTAAGTTCACCTTATCTTCCCCAGTTGACAAGTCAAAAAAAAGAGGCGTTCACAACCTGTTTTACAATTTTTTTAAGCATAACTGTAAAAACACCAAATTGTCAGTAAACTCAAGTAAATATGACTAAAATTCAACTTAAAGATAAACTTTATTTCTTAATTTTTGTAGAGTTTAAAATCCAAAACTTGTCAAGACAATTGGAGTTAAAGTGAAGAAATAAGCCAAAAGAAAAATCGCATTTTCATGTTGTGGACCAGTGTTATTTTAGTAAAGTTTTAGTATTATATATATATATATATATTGGCCATTTTCACAAGTTTAAAAAAAAAAAAAAAAAAAAAAAAACAATCACCCCCCCGCCCCCCCAATAACAATTAGTAACTATTTTACAGAATTTGTTTCTTTAGTTAAATTCGATTTTTTTTTTTTACAAGTTAAACTAAACGAATACATAAAATGTTGCCTTTGCATCTAGCTGAAATAGCTTTTAAAAATCTATATATGATTTATTTTATGTTTATTTTATAGCAATTCATTTAGGGCTGTCAAATGATTAATCGCGATTAATCGCATCCAAAATAAAAGTTTGGGTTTGCATAATATATGTGGATGCACTGTGTATAATTATTTTATATATATAAATACACACACATGCTTGTATAAATAAATATTATAAATAAATAATATTGTTTTCTTAAATATACATGCATGTGTGTATATATACATATATATATATATATATATATATATATATATATATATAATTATACACAGTACACCCACATATGTTGTGTAAACACACACTTTTAAATTAGGCAGCCCTAATTTATACCTTTTTTCAGTTTGGTTTAGTTAAATGTACTGATCCTGTTGGGGACAGTGAGTGGTTGAGTATGCATATATAATGTAACCAAGAGGCAAAATGTGTCCTGTCTTATGTAGCTGGGTAGGTTGTGGGCCGCAGTGGTAGTTGACTGATGTGTTTTGGGGAAAAAAAACTGTCATTGAAACTTCCAAGTTGACCCAAGGTTGTATTTGCTGAAGAGGTAGACAAGGGTGACAGTGAGCGAGGTATTTATGTGTATATGTATACCTGACATGGCAAGTGTATTTTAGAATCTGACATGCACCATAAAAAGCTGACATGCATCAACTTGAGCATCTATTTTATGAATGTGTATACATGCACTGGAGACTCGATGCGATCTGGTGCAAACGTTTTTCAGTGCACCTGGCAAGAGATCTCTTGGGCTGAGAATGTGACAGATCGCGATGATTCGCAGCACATGTAGCACTGTGCCCTCGGAAACAGCGCTG